TCAGGTGGATAATAACAGGTGCTGCCTTCAGACAGTCCTCAGTAGAGTTAAGAAACCTTTTGTCAGGTGGATAATAACAGGTGCTGCCTTCAGGCAGTCCTCAGTAAAGTTAAGAAACCTTTTGTCAGGTGGATAATAACAGGTGCTGCCTTCAGGCGGTCCTCAGTAAAGTTAAGAAACCTTTTGTCAGGTGGATAATAACAGGTGCTGCCTTCAGGCGGTCCTCAGTAAAGTTAAGAAACCTTTTGTCAGGTGGATAATAACAGGTGCTGCCTTCAGGCGGTCCTCAGTAAAGTTAAGAAACCTTTTGTCAGGTGGATAATAACAGGTGCTGCCTTCAGGCGGTCCTCAGTAAAGTTAAGAAACCTTTTGTCAGGTGGATAATAACAGGTGCTGCCTTCAGACAGTCCTCAGTAAAGTTAAGAAACCTTTTGTCAGGTGGATAATAACAGGTGCTGCCTTCAGGCAGTCCCCAATTCTGCATTAAATTTTTCCCCTGGATGGTTGAAAGTCTGAGTCGTTGCTGGCGTCTGTAGCCAGAGCTGTTTTCTGACCGCAGCTGGAACAGGAATCATCTGAGGCTACAGCCCTGCATGCTCTCACTGATGACGAGCAATAATTGTTGTAAAAGATGCACCAACGTCTGCTTGTGTTCCTTTTTACTCCCAAAGACTGAACCTTTAATGTGGGGGCAGCCAACATGGCGGGTCCTGTAGCTCACCTAAGACCACCTCAGCCTCTGAAGGTGGGCGACAGTTTGCTGAGCTGTGCACACAAGAAGCAGATTCCAGTCACATGGTTCAGGGATGGAGCAAAAGCTCTGAATTCAGTGAGACTGCAGCAAAATATTAGTTTTTCATAACGCGGAGTGTTTAACAGTCGCAGATCCGTCAGCCGGATCTCTGGAGTCCTCCTGTCGATTCCAGTAGACTTCACTGTTTCTTACTTCACATCATTTCTTCTTGACCAGGTCCATAATGGAGCTGAGCCTCTGTCCAGCTTCTGAAGGTGCAGAAAGTCTGGTTTGCTTCCAGCTGAAGTGCTGTGACATCATGATCCGTTCACGTCACGCTGTCAGGTTCTGCAAGGAGAACAATGCTCAGCCCAGTAAACGTTAGTTTTTTAACCATTACTCCCAGGAGCCCACTTGTGAGGAGATATTAGACGAGTCAGAGCTTTATCACTTGCAGGACAAATGCCTGTGAGACCGCCCTCGTGCAGCCAAACGAAGCAGGAAGAGCCCGACTGTCAGTAAATAGTCAAGTGATCAGTCCCTGTTGGAGCTGGGAATCTAAATTAAATCTTTCTTTAATGAATGAAGCTTCCATTGTCTGCCTTATGGTTCAAACTGGAGGTTTTAATGGGAGCTGTGGTCGTGGGTTTGACTGATGTGCACGTGCAGTCAGCCGCTCTGTGCGCCGCCTTTGGCTGATTCTGAGCTACGCTTCTATAATAATTATTTAGATTATTGCGCATGGACTTTGTTGGTTTTGAACCAGTTTGACTGTCGACGAGGAAGAGGGTCGGCACCGGAGGAGGGGGCGTGCCAAAGACACCATCTTAGCACCAACAGAACTGGTTTGTTCCACTTTAGAGTAAGCTGTTTGGGGGAAGAATCAGTTTTGTGTTGTGTGTTTCCTTGACTGATGAAGCCTTCTGGATGGAAGGTGGAATGTTTCAGCAAAAAAATAAACTGTCCAGATGACCTGACTGAAAATTGTTGGACGCTTCTATACGTTTGTACGTGCACGTGTTTCCTCAGCTGGGGGACTGCATACCGGACATAGCCAGCAACATGATGCAGGTGGAGGAGCACGTCTTGTGGATGGCACAGAACGAGGCCCGGGCGTGCACGCGGATCGTCCAGTGTGTGGAACGAATCGCTGACTTGGCGCTCACCGGAGACAGACGAGGCATTTCTAAGGTATGGCTTGAGTTCCAGGTTTCAAGGTCTCACGTGGAGTGAAGGCTACATGGGCAGCTCTCTGTAGACCCTGATCAGATCTTACTGAACTCTGCTGTTGAAGGAGATTTGGCTCCGAGTAATAACAGAAGATAAATAGTTCTTCTCATTGTTTTGTCTCTTTACAGCTCGTTTGACGCTCTGAGCTTCTGATGACTGATCTTAAACCTCTGCTCTTCCTCATCCTTCATCCCCTCCTCCTCCTCCCACATGTTGGTGCTACGTTCCTCAGGTATCTGCTAACATCGCTCTGGAGGCCTTCCTGATCCAGCCGTCAGACTTCCAGGGTTTATCCTGCACCGTGCTCCAGCAGTCTCACACGTCCGCGGCCTCGCCTTTCGCTCACAGCCGACTCCACCCCGACGAGGACGAGCGTGCAGAACTCGACGCCACGAGAGAGTCCTCGCTCAGTTTTAGATGTCACGCCGTCAACAGCAGCGACTCACCGGTCAGCCAGCTCAGTAAGGTAAGGAGCACATCGAGAAACGGTGGGAAACTTTGAGAGACGAGTCGCTGCGCTCCGACCAAACCTGCAAACGTTCAGGCAGAGGTTCAGGAAGCAGCAAAGAGCCAGCTTTTTATTTTCTCCGGGCTTTATCAAAGTCCAGTGATTCTCAGTCGGGTCATCTGGACAGTTTCTTTTTTATAGAGACGTTTCACCC